AGAGTACAAATCATACCAGCACTAGTTAATTGGCTCTGTACCACAAAAGAGTAAGAAATTTTTCACCTGTATTTCAGAAAAACCTCCTATAATAGAGGAGGTTTAGAAAAGTTAGAAAGAACTTAACCCACTGGGAAGCTGGGGAGCAGGGTACCCCAGAAAGCTGCACACTTGCTTGGGAGCATACTGAAGGAAGGTGCTGGCTATCCCAGTGTGAGGGTGGACAATTCCAACTATGTACAGTGGATGCAAACTTCCCTTTTTTTTTTTTTTTGCTGACAATCAATACTAACACTAAAGTAGCTTAGCAACTATAAAGTCTAAAAAGTAACTATAATAGTGTGTGTGTATAACATAAAAATAAGCACATATATATTTTATACACACACACAGACATCTGACCTTCATTCACGTTTGAATTCCCAGCTTCTCAATGTCTGTACCAACAGTCAAGAGGGGCACCTGCCCCACATTTGCGACTGACACTGAGAAAGGAGATGAGCCTGAGGCCATCCTGTGCCTTTTCTTCCCAGGGACCAATTACCCCTTGAGTACCAGCCTCACTCTTGTGTTTACCCACAGGTTTAAGGATCCTGCCTTTTTTCTAAGTAAAAAATTCTTCTCTAAATTCTTTGCAACCAAATTTGGGTCAGAACACAAAACTGGGAGCCAAAGTAGTTGAAGAAAATAAAAGTAAAGCAAAGGAATATATTTCACTGTAGATTATTTTTTTTAAGTCAAATTACCCATAAAACTGAAAGAGTACACACATACTGACTGTAATTTGAGATTAGGGGAGGGGGATTTAGAACACATGGAGAGAAAGAAAAACTATTTCAAAAAGAAAGGAAGGCATTTATCTCTACTTTAGTAAGCTGAAGAAGCGTATAACCTATATACTGTTAGTAATTTTGGAATCCTGTGAATTACACACTTTGAGCAGTAAAGATACAGAAGAGAACTTTAGCAATGGTGGTTAACTGAAGAGATAGAATCTCCAGGTACTAATCTGTTCTATATGGAATCCCTATACTACTGTCTTCAGGAAGGAGAAAAAATAAATAGCAGACCAAACTTGGTAGGATTTCTAAAACTACATATATAATAAATACGGATCACCAACTTTTACACAGGCAATGGCAAATTAAAATTTGGGGAAAGAATTATTATTCAGTAATATCTTACATTTTCCAGTATCTTTTGTTTGCTGGACAAAAATTAATTCCACTCACACGTTCTTAGGCTCATTGGGGCAAATAATGCTAGGCTATTCTTAAGTATCTTAAGATTTATCACCAGACATGCCTGAGTTAAGAATCTATGTGGAATAAAATGAAAGGCACAGAACTAAGCATCAGTCAACATCATCTCTAGGCCTGCCTCTGTCACTGAGTAACTGATCCCAGCCATGTTACTTTAATGATGTGATACATCAATATTTCTAAAATGAAGGAGTCAAACTATATAACTTCTAGTTCTAAACCCTGTCCTAATTTCTAGTTCTTATTTTTACTTTTTTGAAAATATATTTCTATCAAAGTAATACATACAGAAGGCTGTTTCCTAAAGGTCAGTGTCTAAGGAAAAAAAAAAGTCAATATAAAAACTTCCCTGCTTCACCTTTGTTTGGGATAAAATACAAAGAGAAGAATAAATAACACCTGTTATTTATGTTAGTGTAAAGAAAAAATAGAGATGAGAATACTTTCTCCTTTTGTTTAATTAATCAGAGTTCCTATTAACCAGATTTCTGCAAATCTTTCACACAGTCATTTCTTAAATCCAAATTAGTTTGGTTCTACACTATGCTCCTTTCTACCTGTTTCATTTCTAAGTTTATCATGATGACAAACATGTCTTCTGAGTTAATGTGTTATCATAATCTGGAAAAAGGTAATAGTTTTTCACTTATTAGCTATCAGAGCTGAGCAAGTTATTCTTAGCTTCAATGTCTGAATCCATAAAGATAAACAATAATCTCTCTTAAGATTATTGAAAAGATTAAATACATGAAGGCACAGTAACTAACACAGAAAAGTGCATTTAATAAGCATTTGTGTAGTTTAAAGGTATGACATCTATCCATAAAAGTTGCTTAAACAACTCATTCCCTAGGTAACTGCATATTCAATCCAACAGAGGTACCTGGAACCTAATGCAACTAGAATGTTTAATGCGAATGTTAAGTATTATTTCAGAAATGCAATTCAATAAACACGTACTGAGTATTTATATGTGCCAGGTAGAATAATGCTAAAATTCCAGAATTCCATGATTTTGACAATGACCCACCCTCCAAAAGCTGTCTAGAAGAGACAAATAATTATGTCATTAAACAATATAATAATAAAAGCATGCACATGGAGCAGAAGTAGCAGGGTGAGGCAAGTAACTCCTGCCTAAAGAAAGGACGAGAAAAGCAGGTGGCAAAGGGGAAAGGGTATTTTGCGGGCAAAGACAGGGGTTGAAAGCCTCGCTCGGCCATTTACTAGCAATAGGATTTGGGGCAACTGACTTTGCCTCCCTTCTCTGCAATTCTACTTTGGAAAGTTATTCTTAAGATTAGAAATAATATATGCAAAATGCCTGAACATAGCAGGCACTCACAAAGTAAGTGGCGGTAGTCTTGTTTTAGGAGGGGTTGTGTTTGTTTTGAATAGACCAAATTCTAAATGGCACTGTGGCAAACATCTCTTGACTAATGGCCAAGCTACATATGGGATCACTAAGGTCACCAGCACGAGAAGGCCACAATGAACCACATCACATCAAATGTTACCACTTCCAGAACCCACTTTTTTAGAAGTGAGGTGATTCCTAACATGTGGTACACTCCCCTGCTGGTGAAGCATATTTCTAACCTACATCTTCCTCCTCTTCTACCCTGAAAACAGAATTTTGCATATTCAGGCTCATTATTTCCTAGAAGCGGTCCCCATGTTCCTCAGTCCCACTTGAGGAACTCACTTTGGATGTTCAGCATATCCTTTACGAAATGGCAAAATCTGATAAACAACTGACGATTATTAAGATTATATTAAGAGATAATGAGAGCTAACCCTGGGTTGAAACCACTATTATCAACCTACTGGTTGACTCATAGAACTGGAAGCCACTATAATGATTAGAATCCTAAAGTAAATATTTTAGAAATATTGTTAAATCTAGCCAAGTGTAAGTACATTTACACTACTTTATGGCTCCCCAAACTAATTTTCTCTAAATAAATGATGAGCTAAGCCAGTCCTTAACAAATACAAATATAAAGTTCTTACTTTTCACTTCCCTCCTACAAACACTATTGATACATTTGAAATATGAATAGTGGATAAATACAAGCAAAGCCAGAAGTAAAATAACATAGGCTATCTCCAAATTCAAGTGAATCATGAAACAGTCTTCAAGTCAATGCATTTTTTTTAGAAATAAAAACATGTCCCTGACCCTCAACCATCATGTAAGGTCAGTTTGCTCCAAGTTAAATAACCACAGATTAAAAGTGAGGACACCACAAATCAATCCAGAATCTATGTTAATTTTATAGTTGCCACATTCAAGAAAATCAGTGTCTTTAAAGTCATTCTGTGGTAGAAAATTCCATAAAATTGGGGCACCTGTGTGGCTCAGTCGTTAAGCGTCGGCCTTCGGCTCAGGTCATGATCCTTGGGTCCTGGGATCGAGCCCCACATTGGGTTCCCTGCTCTGCAGGAAGCTTGCTTCTCCCTCTCCCCCTCCCCCTGCTTGTGTTCCCTCTCTCGCTGTATCTCTGTCAAATAAAAAATCTTAAAAAAATTCCATAAAATTTTTCTCTACAGATATCTGAACTCCATATCCAGATTTTATAATATATACATGTTACTATATTATAAATGATATTATATATTTATCATATATGTAATACACATGTGTATGTAATCTGTCAGGACAGGTTATATTTGTAAAATACTCTTCACACTTAACCAGTTTGACATGTATTTTAAATGTTCCTACCAAAATTAGCTTTATACGTTTGCAAGAATTAAAATCCTGAGTATGTTTTTAAGTTTCTTCCCTGAGAAGCAGAGATTGAGTCACCAAATTGCAACTGAATCTTTCTTCTAACCACCAATCTTTAGAGAGTATTTTTTAACTTCACAAGTCAAAGTATAAGAATTTCCACATTAACATAGAAGTTTCTTCACAAACCAAACCTACGAATTCGATAAAAAATGAGTATTACTGCTCACTTTTACAACTAAAATTGAGGTTAATTATTATAATGTAGTTAAGTCCAATTCCCTCTTGACAGCCTTGACGAAGAAGGGAAATGCAAAAAAAAAAAAAAATCAAATGTCACAGAAGCGGCAGCTTGAGGCTAGAGGGAGAGACAGACAGACAAAAGGAAATAAAACACAGAAAATATGTGGTTAAAGCTAAAATGCTTAGAATGCACTAGACCTTGGCCCAAGCCCCAGACCCACTATAACCTACTTCATTAGTCATCTAGAGCAACAATTTAACAAGTGAAGCAAACTAATCATTGTAAACAGAGAATTTAAGTCCTGCATTCGGTTTGAGATTTGCCAGAAAGAAAAGGATTTAAGCAGCAAGAAGTAGGGTGTGTGTGCGTGTCTGTGTGTGTGCGCGATTGGCGGGGGGAGGGGGGGGTAAACCAACGCTAACTGCGCCCCAGTCTCAGCACTAACGCTATTCGGCGCGTACTACACAAGGCACCGCCGTCGGGAGCCCTCCCCGCGCCGGGCAGGAGGCGGGGGTCGTGGATTCTCCACCCGCGATCAGGACCCTCGGAGCGCCTGGGGAGTGGGTCGGGCGTCGGCGCCCGGGGGACCCGCGCGGAATGCACCCAGTTAACACCTTCCTGGCCAGGACCTAGGACGGCCAGCTGGCCAGCGGGGTGCGCACGGGGGTGGGGCGGCAGGAGCGCGGCCCCTCCTCTGGAGGGAGAAAGGAGGCAGGGGGAGGCACCGCATCCCCGTCCCCACCCCGGGCGCATCAATTACCCGTGAGGTTCCTCAGCACCGTCCCGTGGGCCCAGAGGCTCAGGACCTGCTGCACCGACAGGTTGATCATGGAGTGGTCGCCCCCCTCCGCCTTCATCTTCCCCGGGGGGCGCCCGCCGCCCTCTCCTCGGGCGCCGGGTGGCGGCGGCGGCTGCGAGGCTCCGGGGGCGGCGGCGGGTGCACGGCTCCTCCAGGCCGCCGCCGCCGCCGGGGAAGGCTGCGGGACGCCGGGCCGGGCGCTGCTGCTGCCGCCGACGGGCCTCCGGGGGGGGCAGCTCAGCGCGTCTCCCAGGCAGCCCCCTCCCCGCCGGGGAGACATTGAGGACAGCGGACGGGGTAGGGGTGGGGGCCGGGCGCTCTCCCTGCGCGGCCCCCGAGTAAGGACTCGGGGAGGAGGAGGCCGCTGCTGCTCCCTCTCAGGGGCAGCCCCGCGCCGCGGGGGCCGAGCACGCGAGGAGGCCGAGGTCACGCAGGGAGGCCCGGGGTGATGGGCAGACGGCAGGTGCAGCCCCCGACGGGGCCCAGCTCATCGCCACCCGAGGACGAGGAAACCCGGGACCCGGAGGAGGCTGCGGCGGCGGCCGCAGCGGCACCTGCCGCCAGCCTGCCCACCCTCCGGCCGCCGACACTCGAGGAACCGCCCCCTCCACCCGCGGCCGCCGGCGGGCCGCTAGTGCGCGCGCGCACGGGTCCCCACCTCCCCCGCCATCCCCGGAGCCGCTGCGCATGCTCACTCTCCCCCTCCCCGCGACCCGCCGCCCTCCGACAGCCCGCCGGCCCCCAAAGCCCTCCTCCTTCCCCTCCCCGCGCGCGCGAGCTCGCGTGGCTGACGGCACCGAGCGTCGGCCCGCAGTGGGGCGGAGGGAAACGCGGCCTACGTCACTAGCGCCACCGCCCGGCCCCACTGCTGATTGGGTGCCCCAACAGAGCCACCTCCACTCCCTCCCCGCCCCCAGATCCCGGGCGCGCGCCTGGTGGTGAGAGCTGGAGTCTTGCCGCGGGCGGAGCCGGGGGCGGAGATGCTGGAGCCCTCGCGTGAGGGGCAGCCTTGACCCACCTTGTGGGGAGCGGGGGGTGCTCAAGCACGTGTGATGGATTCTGTGGCATTACAGATTTTTGGCCTCAAAATGCTTTTGATAAAGATGTTTCCGTGTAAGATTTTTTTTAAGGGCTTAAATATCTCAACATTTTATATGTATTAATTTGCGGGTTTTTTTTTTTAAGTGAGTCAGCTGATCTGGCTAGGTCACTACCTGCAGAATATATTTTTAAGCCGCTAAAACAGAAATAGACCCACTTTAGCATTCATCCAGTCCTTCCCGCTTCAAGAACTTCGGCCTCCCGTGGCTCTAGCGTCTGAAATCGCCTATTGACACAGGGATCGGCAGGTGTCCTACTCCTGAACGCCATCCCCTGGTCTGGCTCTCTTTTCGTTGCAATATTCTTTTTATCCAAATTGTGAAAGCCTCCGTTATTTTTTTCCCCCCACGACTGAAACTATATTAAACTAAACTAAACAGTATTAGCCCGAGGAGCTCTCTAAATTACAACTACAGCAGATTAAACTCCTCCTTGAAGCATGAAACCTTTTAACTTGAAAAATAAAAACTAATTTTTGGCGATAGCATAAACATGCACTAGGCAACCCCGTCCTCCTCTCCAGCCTTTTTCAACCCCTCTGCCTTCTGGAAAAGAAAATCTACAAAGAAAAGTTAAGAAGTTCATGTTTTAGCTAAATCACCAAGTATATTTGGCCAAAGCACAGAAGGATTGAATCACCTGTAAAACAGTGATCTTGGTGACCACTTTAAAAATAATTTTATATGTATGTAATTGTCTGTTGTATATATGTATGTGTATGTTTGATATCACAACAAGGGAAAGGGAAATTTTTTCCTCATTAATAGGAATTGAGCCAAAACTCATAATGTAGAGTTCATCTTTTTCCTACAGTTTAGAAGTATTAGATCTTAATTAATTTAAGATTATACACTATCAGACTTAAAAGAGGCTTTAATATTTTTCTAATTCATTTTATTTTACAGGTAGAAAACTAATTCTGCAGAATTAAGTGATTGGACAGAGGTGACACCACTTGAGAGCCCAGTTTCTGAATTCCTAGTCTATGAATTCTTTCTTGCAAATAAAACTATCTTTCTCACCTCACTAATTAACTCCATAATTTAAGGTTCTGAATGGGGAAGTGCAGGTTACCTAATGACAGCATTAAGAGACTTAGCATTATTTGGTTGGTAGTGTTAGAGAACGTGAGCACATCCGATGAAGGGTTTATAGCAACAGCTCCATAAAACTCTCACATCAGGAACTTTTAGTCAGTTTATATGGAATCATTTGGGGTTCTTCTGGTTAAACACACTATTATTTAAACCTGGTAGCATATATTTAAAACATTCAGGGCTTGGGGCAGTGCCAATACATGATATTCAATAAATATTAGCTGAATGAATAATTGAATGAACTTCATAGAAAAGGTGGCATTTTTCTGGACTCGCATAATTTTTTAAAACTAAAGCTAAGCAATTTCAGGAAATGAGAAAGTAAGACACAGCAATGAAGCCTCAAGTTGATCTGCACTTTAATAACCCGACAATTTTTCCCCCTCCTTTTCAGTTCAACTTAATAAGCATTTTTTGGCACCTACTATCCCTAATGTTCTATGTTAGGCATCATCACTAGAATTTGAAGATGAATAAGGTCCCTACTCTCTAGGCTAATGCATTGCATTTAATTTGTCTTTGCCTTGATAAAGCTAAAGATACTCAGTCTGTGGAAGCCTATATTCTTAAGAGAACTGAACATTTTCCCAATAGCCAGAGTTATAGAACTCCAAACTGAGTTAATGCAAATAGAAGTTGCATGCATAACTTCTTTCCTTGCAGATTTTTGATATTGAATTAATGTAGCAATCAAGGAATGGCTTAGTCACACTGCAGAAGTCAGGGAATGCCTCAGATGAATCCTAGAGGTGTCTTTCAATCTTGTGCTGTTGTGCCCAATTCACAAACAGTTCCTGGTTTATTTTTTACTTACAAGTGGGGGACATCCACAACTCTTAGGCATCCTATTAATTGTCCAGAGAGGGCCCAGAAGAAAGCTTTCGAAATCAATTGGAATATAAAATGATATTGATCCTTTGAGAAAAGCATTAACTATTGAGAATTTTTTCCTTTCACTTTATTATCTTCTTTTCTTGCTCTACAGGACTACAACATAGAGTCACCTTGTTTAGGCAATCTAATTTCATCTTCTTGCACATTTCAGTGGTTCCAAACCCTGAGTGGTGGAGTAGGTTCAATAGACTGATTATCTGAAAAATAGGGTTTGAACCCTGGCTCCAACACTCACTAGCTTTAAAATGGGAATAATAACATTATCTCTCTCTTCAAATTTTTGGTGTCCTTTAAGAAATAGTAATAATGAACGCAAGCTCCTTCATCATGTCAGGCCTTGTGTCAAATACTATAGATTTAATTTTCACAAGGATGAGTTAAAATTTCACAACACTATTAAACTATTTTGTTTTCAAAATCCATACACAAAGCTGTCCAAAACTTCTTTGTACACACACACACACACACAAAGCGAGAGCACTGTTGGTTGTTTTCTGAAGAAAATAAAACTCAGTTGGAAGAAATGACAGAAGTAAGAAGAAGAAGGAGTCATATATATTATTCTAAGATAGCTATGGCACTGAAATTTACATGTTGCAATGTTTCTCAGAACACCTATCACAGTTGAGAGACATTTTCATCACAGTAAATCAGAGAAACTTTGCAGGTAGAGAGAGTACAGAGTATTTCCTTCTCTAAAAGCCACAATCCTAAAAACAACGTTGCAAAATGACATTGTGGAAATTCCCATCCTAAATGTAGTCTACCTACCACAATTAGAATCATTCCACTTGGCCTACCTTGAGAATTTAAAAAGCTGAAATTTCTGGGATCAGGAAATACAAGGTGTGTCCTGTTGTATCTCCCCAGTAAGATACGGCACACTGAAGATGCCAAGCTACCATTACGGAGCTGCCCAGAAAAGGAAGAGCTTCTCCACGTTGGCAATGGGATATGATGTCCATCCACAGTCGTGAAGGGTCGGGGGCATGTTTGAGATGGAAGGACAGATAGATGCCTCCAGCTCCATTTTCCACCTCATTTTTGTGCCCTCTCTCCACCTGTGTATTCGAATCACCTTGTTTATTATCCCAAGTCTTAAAAAGAGAGAATACATAACGATACTTGGACTCTAAAAATTCATACTTTGAAGCCTAAATGTGAGCATAAGAAGAACACTGCTAAAATCACATGCACACAAAATCCTGCATTTACAACATACAAGACTCAGTTTTCACCCTAAAAACCAGTGTCTACAAATTACCCTGCATCCACCCTGGTCATATTATACATGGAAGGCCAAATATAATACATAAAATAGTCTGTTGACTGAACAGCACCTGTAGATTTGTGATACCTAATCTACACTGCATTCAGTTGTTAAATTATTTCACTGTTGAGCTAAACATCAGCAAACCTTGTATGCCAAGAACAAAATGGTGAAAATGGTATTTCATCATATTTTAGTTAACATTTTTCTGATTGTGAGTGAGGTTACACATTTTTTCATCATGTGTATAGGAACATTTGGATTACCTTTTATAGGGAATTTTACCCATTTTTCTTTTGGGTATTTTATCTTTTAAAAATTACATATAAGAGCTTTTAGATATTTAACAAATGCACCATTGTGATATGCATTGCATTTATCTTTTCCATAAGGTTTGTCCATTGCCTTTTAATTTTAATAAAATCCTTTTGTCATACAGAAATTTCTGATATTTACGTTGTCAGGCTTTCCTTTTATGGCATCTGAGTCTTCAGCCATGCTTTAGAAAGTCTTCCTCTCTCTCAGATTTGATTTTTATTATTTTTATTTTTTTTTCAGATTTGATTTTTAAAGTCTCTTATAAGTTTTCTAAATAGTTTATGAGTGTTTTTGTTTACAACTTTGGTCCACTTGGAATTTTTTTTAATGTAAGCAGTTTGGTAGAGATCCAATTTTTTTTCCAGATGGCCACTCAGT